AGACTATAAACATAATTGGCATCAAACTTATCCGGGAGAAAGTTGAGATTGTTGTTGTTGCCTTGCAGCGGAATATAACATAATTAACATTGTATAGTTTCTCAGCATCAAGCAGAAAGTTAAAAAGAACTATCTTTTCACAAGTTAAAAGGACATTGAACAATATTACTAATGCGAAACACTCGAATATCCAACAGCAATCGCTTGAACTAAAATATCAAAAGTTTAGCTCATAAAATATAAGTACCAATAGAACTCCGGAATCCAGAAAAAACTCAGTATTAAAGAAGAGAAACTAACCCGAATTGCAGGCTCCTGAAATAGACAATTCCAGCTTAAATTAAACCTTAAAATTGATGATCCTTATATACGCATAGTACAAAAAAAGCTGAAAAGTGTTAAAATTCCATCAATGGAAATATAAATTTCCAACCGTAAGAAAGTAAAAGGGGAAATCATAAAAGTACGGTATACAATTCTTGGCCAGAAATTAGAATATAAATCGTTTGATAATTAAAAGAAAAATCTTCGATTCTGAAATTCGCTGATAGGGATCGAAGGGAATCGACGTTGAGAATATAATTCGTTAATAATAAAAAGCAAACTTTTTGGGCTGTGAAGTTCGCTGATTGTGAACAGAGTGGAATTGAGATTCGAGGATTTCGGGAAAGGGGTGGTGGTCTTTTGAATTCGACTTTTTGTAGTTGTGGGAATGTTCATATTCGATGGAATGGGGTGGAGAATAGTATGGCGGTGAACATGAAGAAGCATTACTCACAGGAGCCAGTTGAAATGCGCATTTTTACATTTGATATCTTTCCCTAAATTATAATTGAATAACAACATTCGTGTGGTTTTAGACTCCAGGTGAATTTATAATTATTATAACAGTCGATGAGAAATGACACTCTTGAAGTTTGAATTATATAAATCTTGAGTAACCATTCCTTTGTAGCAAGGCAACTCGTCCTTTCATCAATCACTCGAGGTCGATTGCATTTTTCCTCGGTAGAAGGCAAGGGCGATGAGAGGGGCAGTCCTTTCGATTTTTCAATGAAAAAAATATTGTCCTCTATGATTCCAACCCCAGAGAGTAGGGCTAATCATGTTTTCCCTTGTGCCCCCCAGAGCACTTGATTATCCAGCTACATCCTCCTAGTATTGTATTCCATTGAGTATTTATTTGAGACTCTAAATTCAAAACTCATCTCAATTCATAATTTGATAACGCAAGACACATGGACATGGGCAAATAATTTTATTAGGACATACTATTCATTCGATTTCATTAGAAGATGAGTTGTCTCGTCATTCTTGTGTAACATAATTGCTTTGTTTGGAGAAATTCTTAACTCAGGAACGAGAGTAGAAGATAGAAATAGAGTTGCTTTCTTTACACTCCAACATATCATCTCATCTATACCGTGTAATTGGATTTTAAGCTTGCCCAAACATGCTTCTATTCTGTTCTATAGCATTTTTCGAAATGCATTGTAGGTGGTGTTATTAAAAGTCGTACATCTATTATAAAGTTTTTTGAATGCTATTATAAAATACTATAAAAAAAACTTTTACATAACATTCTATTATCGTCATGATTTTAGTATATGTAGCATTCTTTTCGTGCAATTTTTTTTTTTTTAATTTGATAACATTTTTTTTTTTGTTATAATTTTGGCTTTAATAACATTCATTAATCGTCGTGATTGCATCTTCAATAGCATTCTTTTTCCATAATAATTTTTTAATATTTCTAGCCTTTATTGAATAAAATGTACCATTTTCAATAGCATTTTTTTATTGTAATGTATACATAATGAATAGCATTCCAAATTCGTTAATTGTCAAATGTAAAATTGGATTAAAATTGAAAAATTAGCCGTTATTGTTGACTTTTTTTAGATGAGTGTGACCCAATAACGACTATATTTTCAATTTTAATTGGATTTTAAACACGACCGAACACGCCCTCAATAGTATTATTTTGTGGAAAGTATGGACAACAATAACTAAGCAAATAATAAATTTCAAAACATGCATGAATACTGTCTTATAGAATACATAAGATTTAAAGATTTATGAAGAAATAACTAAAAATCATATGGTCGGAAGAACAGGAGGACCACGAGCATTTAAATAAGAAGAATATGGAGAAACTAGCACAACTAGATATGAAGCAGAAATAGATCCTAAAAGATATGTTAATACAAAAGTTGATTTTAAAACTAAAAAAAAAATGTATAGAGATCAATTTAAACCAATATTAAGAGAATCAAACCCAATAAAAATTACAGGATCATATTTGAATTTAGATTGTAAATTAGACGTTAGAAAATTTATAAATGAATGGATTACTAATATGATAGCACACTTTAATTATAATCATAGTAATACCGATAATAAAAATAGAACAAAATATTTATTAGCAACTTTTAAAAGAAATGTAGTTAATTGGTATAGAGGATTAGAATAAACAACAAAATGTGTTTGAAAAGATAGTATTGAAGCAGGATTTGGAATTAGTATAATAGAAGGAATAAATAAAGTTGCTACAAGAATTTATAGAGAATTTGCCGGAGAAGATTGAGTAAATGAAAGTACTAAAACTAGAATAAAAGAAATAGAAGATACTAAAAATAAGATGAAACATTTACAAATTTGTAATATGTGTTACCTTTAATGAATATTTTTATGAATATAGTAAATGTTATTATATGATGTTTGGAAGTGGAGTTAATAACAATTATTATAAGGAAGTTTTTATTAGATAATTAACACCACCATGGAATAATTATTTTTAAAATAAGATTAAAGAAAAACAACTTGGAAGAAATGAAGAAGGTTATACATTAGGATTTATAATAAGAACTATAAAAGATGAAATAATTACTATGTGTAGTAATCAAATGATCTATAAACAATCAGAATTTATACAATATATGATTTGTTATAGAGATACTGAAGTACCATAGAATTGGGGATGTTGTGATTATAGACGAAAAAGAAAAATAAAACCCAAAAAATATAAAAATATATAATAAGTTTAAAAAGAAATATTTTAAACCAAAAAGGAAATATTTTAGAAGAAAATATAAACCTTATAATAAAAAATCATTAGATAAAAAAAGATGTAAATGTTGGAATTGTAATGAAGAAGAACATATAAGTACTGAATGTCCAAAAAAAAAAGAGTTAGGATATTAATTACAGATTTTGAACAAATTAGAGATGAATGTGAAGAAGTTAATATTGAAGAGATAGAAATTAATGAAGAAATTTTTAAAGAAAAATCAGATTTAGAAGATACATCTAGTGAGGATGAATAAAAATAAGAATAAAACTAGTTTCTAAAAATTATAAAGATTGAGGACATGACTTGCAATAAAAACCCATTTCATGAAGGGCAAAATGAACTTTTATATTAAAAATCCAAATGGGTCATTTGACTCGATTAGTTTGAAAATTCTCCCCCTCACAAAGGGGGGACCCACACGTATTTTTAAAAAAAAGGCAGGCCCCACCCTTTTTGAGGGGCCTGTAGAGAGTAATGGTTCTATACATGAAGCATTAGTCCATGAAGAAAGAGGTCAATTTCCTATGTTCGACTTTGTTTTGCTTGTATTCGTCAATCCTTGCTCAACATATATATGACGCAACTTAATTCAAATTTTAGGTTGAAGTAAAAAATAATTTGAGATAAATATAGAAGAAGCTATGTAAAAAATAATAATAACAAAATAATTAATATTGACGACGTGCCGAACAAGTTGAAATACGCATTTTTACATTTGATATCTTTCCCTAAATTATAATTGAATAACAACATTCATGTGGTTTTAGACTTCAGGTGAATTTATAATTGTTATAACAGTCGATGAGAAATGACACTCTTGAAGTCTGAATTATATAAATCTTGAGTAACCATTCCTTTGTAGCAAGGCAATTCGTCCTTTCATCAATCACTCGAGGTCGAGTGCATTTTACTTCAGTAGAAGGCAAGGGCGATGAGAGGGGCACCCTTTCCATTTTCAATGAAAAAAATATTGTCCTCTATGATTCCAACCCCTGATAGTAGGGCTAATGATGTTTTCCCTTATGCCCCCCCAGATCACTTGATTATCCAGCTACATCCTCCAAGTATTGTATTCACATTGAGTATTTATTTGAGACTCTAAATTCAAAACTCATCTCAATTCATAATTTGATAACGCAAGACACATGGACATGGGCAAATAATTTTATTAGGGCATACTATTCATTCGCTTTCATTAGAAGATGAGTTGTCTCGTCATTCTAGTGCAACATAATTGCTTTGTTTGGATAAATTCTTAACTCTGGAAAGAGAGTAGATGATAGAAATAGAGCTGCTTTGTTTACACTTCAACATATCATCTCATCTATACCTTGTAATTGGATTTTAAGCTTGCCCAAACATGCTCCTATTCTGTTCTATAGCATTTTTCGAAATACATTGTAGGCGGTGTTATTAAAAGTCGTACATCTATTATAAAGTTTTTTGAATGCTATTATAAAATGCTATTAAAAAACTTTTACATAACATTCTATTATTGTCATGATTTTAGTATATGTAGCATTCTTTTCATGCGATTTTTTTTTTTGATTTGATAACATTTTTTTGGTTATAATTTTGGCTTTAATAATAGTCATTAATCGCCGTGATTGCATCTTCAATAGCATTCTTTTTCCATAATAATTTTTCAATATTTATAGCCTTTATTGAATAAAATGTACCATTTTCAATAGCATTTTTTTTATTGTAATGTATACATAACTAATAGCATTCCAAATTCGTTAATTGTCAAACGTATAATCGGATTAAAATTGAAAAATTAGCTCTTATTGTTGACTTTTATTAAATGAGTGTGACTCAATAACGGCTATATTTTCAATTTTAATTAAATTTTAAGCATGATCGAACACGCCCTCAATAGTATTATTTTGTGGAAAGTATGGACAACAATAACTAAGCAAATAATATTATAGAATACATAAATATACATGTTCAATGTAGAACTCTAAGGGTGAGTTTGATTGTCAATATTTTCCATGAAAAATGTATTTTTTTTCCCACCTAATCTCTTATTTTTGTGTTGTTTGATTGATAATTTTTTTCATAGAAAATATTTTCCTACTTTTGGTCACGTGATCATATTTTCAATGAAAACAATGAAAATATTTTCTTCAAGAAGAGGTAATTTTTATTTTCCCCTCTCATCTACCCAGTTATAAAAAATGAAAAAGTATAATATTTTCTAAGTTGAAAACTAAATTATCAAACACGTTTAATTAAAAATTTTCATACAAATAATTTCTAGACAATTGAATTGTTTAGAATTTATTTTCTTTCTTTGTAAATTTCATACTCGCAATCAAACGCACCCTAATTATATTTCGTCTTCACATCAAATATTAATAGTAATATATACTTGAAAAGGCAATACATAAAATTAAATTAGAATCATCTCATTCAAATTCTTCAAAATTTGCTTCTGCTTGACTTGTGGATTTGGAAATTACTGTCTCTGAGCCACAAAGAGATACAAAATACATATAATCAGTAAGCTTTTCAGAGTAATCAATTCAAAATATTCTCTCAACAGGATATTATGAAATAAATCATTTTAGACATACAATTAATGCTGTAATATTGAGCAGTATGTACAGCAATGCAGAAGTTGATAGTGGGAAGTTTCACAAAGCACTAAAATAAAGGCACCTTGATGATGGCACTCAAATAATTATGATCATAT